AAATCACAACGCTTACCCTTTACGGATGCTAGTCATAACTCTACTATGCCTTTACAATTAATTCATTCTGATGTTTGGCAGTCTCCCATTTTATCTAATTTGGGGTTTAAGTATTATGTGTGTTTTATTGATGATTTTTCTCGCTATACTTGGCTCTTTCCTATGCGAACTAAGGCTGAAGTTTTTCATCACTTTCAAAATTTTAAGTCTTTAGTTGAAAATCTTTTTAACACACGCATTAAAATTTTTCAAAGTGATGGAGGGGGTGAATTTGTTAATTTTAATATGCAGCAATTTTTTGATCTTCATGGCATATATTTTCGAAAATCCTGTCCTGAAACGCCTCAACAAAATGGGGTTGCTGAACGCAAACATAGACATTTATTAGAACTCACTAGAACTATGCTTCTCGAAGCATCACTTCCTAGTCAGTTTTGGGTAGATGCTATTTTTACGGCTACATATATTATTAATCGTTTACCCTCTCCCTTACTTAGCAATCAGTCTCCATATGAAAAACTTTTTCAAACATCACCTGATTATTCCTTTATGCGTGTGTTTGGTTGCTCCTGTTTTCCAAATATTTCGGCCACTTCTGCCAATAAACTCTCTGCTCGATCTATTCATTGTGTATTTATTGGCTATGCATCTGGCTATAAAGGGTATCGTTGTCTTGAGCCTAAGTCCGGTAAAGTTATTGTCAGTCGTCATGTTCGTTTTCTTGAAAATATTTTTCCATATAAATCATTGTTGTCCTCCATACCTGTCTCGACTTCTTCCCCCGATAATACTGAGTTTCACTTGACCAACACCCTTAGACCATCACTGTCACAACCCATCCATTCCTCTCCTCCACACCAAGCTGGTCCAGCTTCGACCTCGGCTCCAGCCGCTACCCGGCCGGCTGCTACCAGCTCGGCAATTTCTCCCACTTCACCTTGCCCGCCTCTTCACGCTACCCGGTCAGCTGCTACAACCAGCCCCACCTATTCTTCTTTCACTCCTTCGGACCAAACCCCACCCGCCTCTCCACACTGCCCGAACGCCCACCAGCAAACCCACAGTCACACCGCCACACCTCCATCGCCCAGACCACATATGTCCTCCAACACGTCCAGCCAGTCCTCTTCTCCTTGTTCCGTTGCATCATCCTCCCCGTTGAATATTCATCCTATGCAAACCCGGGCTAAGTCCGGAATTTTTAAACCTAAATCAATTTTTACGTTAAACACAGTTGTTAACTCAGCGGATCCAACTTGTTTTTCTGAGGCTCATAAGAGTTTGGTTTGGCGTGAGGCAATGGCTGAAGAATTTAATGCACTTATTTCTAATAATACTTGGGATTTAGTTCCATTTGATGGCACTAAAAATGTGGTTGGGTCTAAGTGGATTTATAAAACTAAATTCCATTCGGATGGGTCAATTGAGCGTCATAAAGCTCGCTTGGTTGCACAGGGCTTTAATCAGCAGGCTGGGATAGATTTTTCTGAAACTTTTAGTCCTGTCGTTAAACCCACCACTGTTCGTATTGTTCTTTCTCTTGCTATATCTTTTGGATGGGTTATGCGTCAGTTAGATGTCAAAAATGCGTTCCTTCATGGTTATCTTACTGAAGAAGTCTATATGCGTCAACCGCGGGGTTTTATTCATCCCCAGTTCCCTCATCATGTGTGTCGTCTGCGTAAGGCTATTTATGGTCTTAAGCAGGCCCCGCGGGCTTGGTTTCATCGTTTCAGTAGTTTTCTGCTTACTCATAATTTTGTATGCAGCAAATCTGATAATTCCTTATTTATCTTTCATCATGGTCAGTCAGTTATTTATTTATTATTATATGTTGATGATATTATTGTGACTGGTAATTCTCCATCTCTTGTGTCTGCCTTTATTCGTCGTATTGCGTCTCATTTTGCTATGAAAGATCTTGGCGACCTCCACTATTTTTTGGGGGTTCAGGCTATTCGAAACTCTAAAGGAGTATTTTTATCTCAACAAAAATATGTGTCTGATCTTCTTCTCCGTTTTCATCTACACACTCTCAAGTCTGTTCGTACACCTCTTGCCACTCGCACAACTCTCTCCCTCACTGATGGTGAACTTCTTGCAGATGCCACTGAGTATCGAAGTATGGTAGGTGCATTACAGTATTTAACTTTGACTAGGCCTGATATTACTTATGCAGTTCATTTAGTGTCTCAGTTCATGCATGCTCCACGCACTACTCACATGCTTGCTGTCAAGCGCATATTTCGGTATTTACAGGGTACTATTGATCATGGATTATGGCTTCAGGCTTCTACTCATCCCATTCGTCTTTTGGCCTATTTTGATGCTGATTGGGCAGGATGTCCTGATAGTTCTCGCTCTACTTCTGGTTTTGCCATTTTCTTAGGACCGAATCTTATATCATGGAAGTCCAAGAAGCAGCCTACTGTGTCCAAGTCATCTACTGAGGCTGAATATCGAGCAATTGCATACACAGTACAGGATACCCTTCACATTCGTTCCATACTTTTTGAGTTGGGTCTACCGATTCGTATTCCTGTTCAGCTATTCTGTGATAATATATCAGCTTCATATCTGACAGCTAATCCGGTGCAACATGCTCGAAGTAAACATATTCAGATTGACTATCATTTTGTTCGGGAAAGAGTTGCTCATGGTGATTTGGTTGTTCAATACGTTCCTACACATCTCCAACTCGCGGATATTTTTACTAAGAGTTTAGCTAGTCAGCAATTTCATTTTTTAAAAGACAACCTGCGCGTTGTATCTCCCGCACAGCTTGAGGGGGTGTAATAGTTTATATTAATTAGGAATAATTATGTATTTTGGAAACTTCCTTTTATTATAAATATACCTGCCAGGGCTCCTATTGGAGTACGACTTTCCCATTATTCTCACAACTACAGCCGTGTTTTTTTTGTAGTGGAATGCACTTTCTGGTTTATGCGTTGGCCTTGAGCATAGCACTAGCAAACTGTATTGGCTTTGTATTACTAGTATTAGTATTTGAAAATATGATTAAAGAATCACTAAATACTACGGAGTATATAACAGTAAAACGCACATTTTCTGAAGCAACTTTTATAAATTGTCCAAGTTTGATTTTGAATTTGTAAAAGTTTTTCAAAAAACCCTAATGTAAAACACATACTCGTGTATAATAAATAAAATACTCCGTAAAAGGGAGGGGGATTCCCTTACATAATCTTTATCGATATATGGTTCCAATATCATAACAGGTCATGTCATTTAGAGTCCATTTAGTCTTCATTTTCACCTTATAACTTACACGGTAGACTAGTCATGTCCAATATTTCATACATTTTCATTCCCGCTGCACTAGGCTCATTATCATGCACATGAATATCATCGTCATTACATGTGTTGGGTGTGTTTCGGAAAATAAAGAAAAATTAATTAAAATAAATTAATTAAATAAATAATGACTAAAGAAAACAAGAAAAGAGATGGAGCAGAATTTGTCAAAGCTCGTGCAACGCACGATGTCCTTAAAACGTATTTGTTGCCTCCCACGGTGCTAGGAGCGTTGCAACAATAGTTTCCCAGGATACGATGACAACGAACTAATGTTTGAGCACTCAAACAAAAGTTCCAACGAACGAGAACAAAGCCTGAACACAGAAGGAATTTTCGGAATGCTAAGAGTGTGTTTTTGAGAGCTAAAACGTGTATGAATGCGTGTAAGAACGTGTATTGTTGCAAACCACCTGCCAGCCATTATATAAGAGGATTTGTTGTGTGTAAATGGTGAGTTAATGGACCTGAACGTTGGACATCAATGACCAGTCCGTTGGGCATTGAATCGTCCATGAACTGTCCATTTAACGCTGCATTAAAAGATAAGAACGTTGGGCATTAATTGTTGTAACGTTTCAGAAGCGCGGCAGAAGGCCTCCACCAGAACACCCCGGGAGGGTTTCTGATCCGCGGCCACCAGAATACCCCAAGAGGGTCTCTGATCCGCGGCCCATCAGAAGACTCCAAGAGGATCTCTGATCCGCGGCCCATCAGAAGACCCCAAGAGGCTCTCTGATCGAAGCCTTTCTGTTCCGGAGCACTTCTGTTAACTGGGAAAAATAAACGTATCGGGAAGAAAACAAAAATTAATGTTTATCTATAGAAGATAGAATTTTTCGACGACATTCGTGTCCGCAGGTCGCCCGCGCACGCAAGTCGCGGTTTTTCTTCTCCGATTTCGGGATTTGATTTGCACCCCCCCCTGCGCGCGTGGAGAGAGCCTTTACCCTAAGGAATCTTAACTCCTTAAGGGGGAGTCCCTTTATAAAGGGTTGCAAATCCCTTGGGTTTTCCGGTGTGGGAAATTAACACACTAGAAACTCATCCTTTTTCTCAGTTTTTCATTCTAACGGGTAAACTTCGAAAAGCGATTTCTCATTCACCCGTTATCCGTTTTGAGCGTACCATATATCGAATTGTAGCTGTTAACAAGGACAATCCGAAACCACTTTGACCCGACCCAAATTGGAAGTGGGCCCCACTCAAAAAATTGCCCCAAAATAGCCATTTAATGCAATTTTCACACATTTTTCCAACAACATGTTCATTCCTTAGTGCATTCTAAAACATCGATTAGTACGGATCATATTGAACCTCAGATACATTACCATGAGATGAGCTGGCGTGATCCAGATAAACCAACCCATTTGAGTTATGTTCCCGTGTGCTACCCATACATAGTAATCTTCAACAAAACCTTTCTCAAATAGATGTTGCTTGACAATATCCAAAGTCAATCATTTATTGTTTGACTAAAGGGTCAAATAGGCTCTAGAACTAACTAAAAAAGTGCAAATCACCCCTTATATAGGAGACTCTGTCGGTTGTCGCTATTTGGGGTGGTTCCCGATAGAATTATTTGATGAAAATTTTTAGCATCTTCTTCATTAAGCTAAGTCTAGTTTACCCATACCAAATTTCACATAAAAATTCAACCGGGAAAGCAATTAAATGATGTTCTGAAATGTACTGCGTTGTTTAAGAACACACTTATCTTCAAAAATTCAAAGAACCAGGCCAATGAACGGTTGTCGTTTTTGTTTAAAAATACGCTTAGCTAAACAACGACATTTCTTTAAGTATAACGGGAAAAAACCAAAATGAAACGACAGTAAGATGGAATAAACGACATCCTATCACAAAACAACACGGAGTACATATCAGTAATTGAATAATTCAAAACATCAGTAATGTGACTCGTCGCCTCTGTGCTGAGTGCTGGTTAAGTTACTCGATGCCTGAAATTTTGACTCTCGAATTTACTTCAGAAAATAAATAAGGCGTTAACCTTTCAAATTCCACCGACCGCCGGTCTTGTGCTCTAGCTGGATCTTGGAAGCCTGATTCCCGAATTTTTAATTTCTGAAAGATTGAAGAACTGCGGTGTTGCGCGCCTGCGCATTCGGTGGAGTAATTAGAGAGAAGATTGACTTTTCACGCCTGCGTATTCGGTGGAGTAATTAAAAAGACCCGATAAAAATAAGTTTCTTTTCTTCTTTTGTTTTACATAATTAAATAATTGTGTTAGTGGTCTATTGCAATACTGTTGTTAGCTCGTTGCAAAATTGAAATTTATTTATGCTTTGCATTTATGCTTTATAATTTATAAATTACCATTAATGCAATTGTGCTATAAATCTTATAATGCTGTTTTTATACAGTTATGTTTTGGTGAATGGTGATTACACATAAAGTGAGGCTATAAAGAAAGCATTCACACACTGAAGCAATTTTGCAAGGAATTTAGCTCGTGTCAATTTGCAGGGAGAAAATTGCTCCATGTAAGACTTAATCATAGCATTTTTATAAAAATAGTACTTACATACGTTTTTTCTTTGCGTAAGAGCCATGTGGTTCTATTTTTGAAAACTGGATTTTAAACTTCCAGTTTTACCCTTCTTTTACGTGACCTGCTCTGCTATTGAGCTATTATCAAAATTTATTGTCTGTTTAATGACTACTTAGTGTCTATGTATTGCCTGCTATTGAACTATTATTAGAACTTATTGTCTGTTTACTGACCACTTAATGTCTATGTATTGTCTAGTGTTTGCAAGTTTGATTTTCGATCTGGTTTCTTCAAACGTTTTGCAGAATACCTGTGGCGTTGTAAACGTTTCTTCAAACGTTTAAAATATTTGATTAAAAAATTTCCAAATCCAATTATTGAAATTCATGTTTGGATCTACCTTTTCATATTTTAAACACAGGCCACAACCTTGCATTTTGGATCTATGTTTCTGGATCTTAAAATCAGATCCAATCCTTGCATTTTTGGATCTATGATTTTAGATCTTAGATGGAAAACAAAAAAAAAAAATTGAAAGAAGAAAGAAGAGGACGAACGAGGATGATGTAGGATGAGGAGGAAACGATCGGAAGAGGGGAGGAAGAGGAAGAAGAAGAAGCAGACGAGGAGGATGAAGAAGAGCCTTCAGCTGTCAATTACCTTAGCCGCCGCTGCATCGCAAAAACCTAGCCACCATCGCCATCGTCGAGCTCTAGCCACCGCCGTCACCGAACCCCATCGGCGTCGATCGATCCAAAGCGAGAAGGGGAAAGGAGAGAAGTATCGATAGGAAGGGACATTTGCTGTGGAGATCCCTTTGATGCGCAGGGGCAGTTTGATGCGCAGGGGGATTTAAAACAAAGGGGGGCAATTTGGTCAAAGCAGGTGTAGTTAGGTCTTATGCTAATCTATAGTCTTAATTTTGGAAAATTAGTATGATTAGGTCTTATTTGTTGAAATCCCCCATTTGCAGGACGTATTATCTCCATTTTATCACTAATTATTTTGGTATTTAGATGTAAACACTAATTTTATCACTTTCAATTTAGGCAATATGTAATATCTAATTTATTATCAACTTTAATAGTAATGGTTTTATAAAATTTTCAGCACCTCTTCAAAAAATCTTCTGGTTCTGTCACTGGACTCCATATCGATAACACTTATAGTTACTTTGCTTTATGCGGTGGACGAGCACCGACACTAGCTCGCTCCTGGATGCAGATCAAGAAAATATGTCAAGAAAGTACTGAGAATCTGTCGAGAATACGTACGTAGATTGGAATAATATATCCAGACATAGTACAGAGAATATGCCAACTTGCCAAGTGAGTAATCTTAATGAATTTGTTAGTCGTGGAGAAATTCTTTAAATAAGATAAAATAATGATTAAGTGAAAAATAAGATCAAGTATATACTCAGTATGTTTTATTCCTAAAATAGTAAAATAGGATTCATTCACTCTACTTTCAGAAGTTTCAATCAACTTATTCTTTTAATGTAACCAAAAAAGTCTTATTTGAAGAATTACTATGGGAGAACTCCTATTAGTTTAAAAGGTTGGAATTGCTACCCCCACATTGCCTCGGTGGATGACGGCCACCGGAGAGCCGGCTGCCGGACTGCAACAGGAACTTTTTCCCAAGTTATCCTCCACCAGCCTGCTGGATTTTCGGGGCTTGACCGCTGCATCCGAGTTTACCATCAACGAACTACCCTTGGCTATGCGAGGGAACTAGCTTAGGTAGAAATTAATTAGGTTAATTAATTGAATGAGGGATAAAGTTGAAATGATTAGTCTAATTTAAGGAAAATCAAACGTAATGCATGACCCTGTTTTCTAGAATAAGGCTATGTTTTAGTGTCAATTTAGTCAATTTTCTCATAAAATATACTCCTTCACCTAGTTCTATTTTTGCATTTTGTATATGTTTTGATGGAGAAATTTCTTTGGGTCATGCCCTTTTCATTTTCTTCTGAACAGATTTGGTGCGAGGTGGATTAGGTGGGTTGTAAAAAAAATTGGGAAAAAAATCCTGTGATATGATTAGCTATGTTTTTAGACACTAGTATGATTGAAAAGTACAAACAAAAAGCAAAATTCGCTCGCATTTAAAATGTTTAATGACCAAAATTCCCTTATTTAAAAATTTGTATTGTACACTATTTTGTTCCAATTAAAAATACTACACTTTATACTGTGGTTACGGTGCAGTATGGACAATAATGGGGACAACCGTGACAAGCAGACGTGGAGATGACGGCAGTTAGGTGCGTAGACATGGGGACGGCCGCAACGCCGCAACATGAAGACGGTGGGGGCGGCATGTGCCGTGGCGACGAGCTAATGTCTTGATTTTTAAGAAAATGAGTATGAAGTTAGAGTTTTATAATATCAATCTAAGAACATATCAATCCATAAAATTTACTTATTTATTTATTAAATTTTAATTCATATAGATTTAAATATTATTGGGAGATTTACCTAAATAGGACTAAATAAAAGGATAACTACAACAATAGGAGTTTAAAGTTTAAATTCCCAAAATAGGACTAACCCTTCCTATTCTACCCTTTCCTAATAGTATTTTTACACTCATTATAAAATATAAAAAAATAAAAAAAAAATCGTAAAAATTAATTAAAAAATATATAGACCTCAACCACCACTTCAGCCACCTTCCAGCACCACCACTTCCGGTCGTCAGAAAAGATTGCCAAGTTGGCGAAAAAATGTCATCATGATGGCAATTTTGAAGAGAAATCAAGGAAAAGCTAGATATTTTCAAAGAATAAAAAATGCCATCTTCATGGCATTTTCAGTGATATGTGACATTTTTTACATAAGATGACATTTTTTTCCCGTTGACCGGAGCTGGTGGTGCTGGGAGGTAGAGGACGTGTTGGAAGTGACCTGCATATTTTTATATACTCCCTCCATTCCTTAAAACTTTGTCATCTTTCCTTTTCGGGATGTCCCAAAAAACCTTATCACTTTCTCTTTAATCATTTAATTTGTGGTTTCTGTTATTTCTGTTTTTGCACAAATCTCAACCACACAGTTTTTACTTTATTATTCTCTGTGCCTGTCAACTTTGGAAAAGTTTTAAGGGATGGAAGTATCATTTTTTTAGGTATTTTATTTTTCTTTTTAGACTTTTTTTTAAAGTTTTTTAAACATTTTATTTATTTTTTTTATTTTATTTTATTTTTTTACGTTTTCATTATTAATTTATAATTTTTTTTATATTTTTATTATAGATAAACTATGATTTTCCTTTTTAATAATAGAAAGATGTAGAATGAGAAGGAGAGACATATATTAGTCCTATTTTGAGAATAAAGAGATTGTACTCTTATTGTTGAATTTTGGGCTTATTTTAGTCTTATCAGGGCTAATGCCCCAATATTATTTTGGATAAAAAACTAATGATATCATAAATGGGGAAGTAATCATACCTAACATAATATTTTGCATAAAGAAATGAGGGTATTGAATAAAATTCTCCCGTTCTTTTTTAGTTGCAACGTTCAATATTTCACATTTGCTAACGTACGTGTTTAACCGTAATCATATCTTAATCTCTATTAGTAAACAAATAATCAAAATTCAGCTTTTAAAGATTTGTAATGAGATGAATTGAACAATATTTTTTTAAAGAAATAATTTTGATAAAATAATACCGTAAAATATAGTCAAAGTAAAACATGTTAATAGTATAAAATTCAAACATGCTCAAATAAATCAATAAAATAGGGAGAGAGAGAGGATAGTACTACACTTACATGTGGCGAGAAATGATAAGCGAGAACGGCGTAAATGGTCTGGATGATAGTCAAAAGGAGGACGATGGTGGTAACGAGGAGAGAGATGACAGACAAAGGGGATTTAAAGTATCTTTTGTTGAAGGCGGTCCGTTGAACGTGCCAAGGATTGTTGTAATACACGTCCACGTCAGGAAACAGGCGCATCAAGTGATCACCCGTGTAAAATGCCACGTCGTCGAACCTCAGCTCCTTCCCCATCTGTTTGACCATGGTCACCACGCCAGCATGCGTCCCGGCTAGGATGTGGGCGTCATACAGGCTCTGCACGTCCTCCTCCGTCTCTATCAGGCAGTCCAATAGTATGACGTAAGTCACCGCCCGCATCTCCATGTCGCCCAGCAGCTCGTCATAATGCATCTCGTACGCCACGCAGTTCCGCAAGAACGTCCACATGAAGTCGTCCAGCTCTATCGGCGGCATCTTCATCACCCCCTTCCCCTTGTTGAATCGCACCGCCAGGAAGCTGTCTGATTTGTGTTTCGAGCACTTCACCTCGATCCCGGCTACCTTCAGCTTCGAGATGCAAGGTATTTTGGTCGGCCACTGTCGCGTCATCCTTCCAGCCTGGTAATAATCCTTCACGAAATAACTCATGCGGAGCAGATCCAATAGAGTTTTGGCACCATTCATGGCCGGCGGATCCAGAAATTCGGAACTGAAAAGCAATTTAATTAACAATTAGCGGGATAGTAAAAAAAATTATACTGCTACAAAAATATACCTACCATGATCCTCCTCTAACGTCCACAACATGATCAGCACCCCTCTTACGTTCGAGCGGATACTTTGTCGGCCTAAAGAAGTGAAGGGCCAGCATGGGCAAGGAAGTGGCCGGCACGGTTGAACTTGAAGAAGTAAGTTCAAACAAGCACTCCAGCACGAAAAAGGGTACTTGGTTCTGGACGAGGATCAAGTCCCGGCGAATTAAAGAACAGATCCATGGATGGTTCTTCAATGGGTCGTCTTTCTCCGGGGGAACTACCACCCTTCCCTCTCTTCGGAAAAGTTCAACTATGAAGCAACCATCAAGAACCAACATCTTCACAAACCCTTCGGGTGTGAAAGCGAGCTTATTGTCAGCATTAGGAGGCACAACATAGCATTTTCTAGCTCTTGCAGCAACTTGTTTCACACCTTCAAACAACTTCATCAAGGTCAAGTCAGCCGTCCAACCCTTTTCCTTCCTCAGCCTTTCTAGCATTTTATTCATACACCAAACCTTGTGCTCCTCCGACATTATTGGCGTGTCAAATTTCTTGTACGGCCCAATCTCGATATATTCAGGTCTATTCGGATGCCTTGTGTCGTCGTTGAACTTGCAGCTGGACTTAGATGCATGGAAAATGCTGCAGTCGGAATATCTGGCCACGGTTTTCAGCACTGTCGGCGATTTCGAGAGCTCACTTTTCAGCATTTCGATCCCGTCTTCCTCCACTTCCCATTTCATGTCATCCTCATGGCTCTCGTATTTTATGGACTTTCTGCCCCGGCGGCCGGCCCTGTTTTTCTTGGTTTTGGCCATTCCGAATTCTGATTGGATATCAGTATGATCGATTCAAGCTGGTTGGGTGTATAATTATTTCAACCGGGTAGGTAAAGCATCATCGTTCGTACTCCGTCCTTGTTACTCGGCAATCTTTATTCGCTTAGCTGTTATGCACATACATACATGGTGCCAGTACTATTTTGTTCACATACATTGATGCCGTAAGTATTTTGGTTACATAGCTGCCTAATAAATCACTTTAACCACGCGTTTAATAGGTTGCACGTTATAATTTCACACCTAAAATGATTAATATGCAATGTTTGGAAATAACTAGTAAATTAAAAGAAAGTTGCATTATTTGATTAGATATGAAGTTTATTTTTAAACTACAAAAGAGTCGTTACAATTGACACTACATGTTCTATTTGGTTTCTTTAAAAAAAAGTATGTGCTCTTATCAGCACTATTTACAGCAAAGTTTACTGGCACAATTTACAGCAAAGTAGAAGTGGGGAGATAGATATTTATTTTGAATACTGATAAATTATATCAACCACATAATAATATCTTTAAATAGAGAATGATGATAAGTTTGAAATAAATGAAAAATGAAAGGATATATGAAGATGAAAAATAGTAACTTCTGCTGCCAATCAATTCAACTTGTTTCTCCAGTCCAATTTTGAGGGCGAACATCACCCCATGAAAATGAAGGCTAATGTCTGAATTAAATACTACTAGTTGAATGGAGTATAACCGTTTGGAAAACAAAAGCTGGAAGAATGAATGGAAAAAATACAATTACATTAAAGGGCATAACATATATTATTAAAAATAATATATGTTATTATTTTAGTGCTAATTCCTAAAAATGAAAGGTCATCTACTTTTAGTGACTTTAGGCCCATATGTCTATCCAATTTTATATGCAAGGTCTGCACTAAGGTTATGGTACCAAGGCTGAAGGTGGTTTTGCCTAAACTAATTTCAAGAGAACAAACAGGTTTTATGGAGGGTAGGGATTCAGCTGATCAGGTATTGATTGCACAGGAGATGGTTCATCATATTGACAAGAAAGTCAGGGGTAGCAATTTCATGGTTAAACTGGACATGGCCAAGGCATTTGATAGGATTTCTTGGGCATTCCTTTCAGACATTCTGATTAAATTTGGTTTTTCTCTTCAATTTGTTCAATTAATCATGAATAACTTGGAAGCCTCTTTCCTATCTGTTTTGGGTAATGGTGTTCCTCGTGGGTTTTTTAAACCATCTAGGGGGGTTAAGCAGGGGACCCTCTTTCCCATTCTTATTTATCTTAGCCTCTGAGGCCTTCTCAAGAGGATTAAATAAGTTGATGATTGAAGGGAAGATAAAGCCTTATTGGACTGGGTGTCAACAATTGAACATCTCCCATTTGGGTTTTGCGGATGATTTATTAATTCTTATGAATGCGAATGCTAGATCACTAATGAAATTCAAGAATTTTCTCCATACCTATCAGGGGGCCTCAGGACAGATGGTTAATTTGAATAAATGCTCTATCATTTGGGGTAAAACGGCTTCAGCAAGACAAAATAAGATCAAGGATCTTCTGGGCATGAAAATGGCTTTTCTCCCAATTAAATATCTTGGGATAAATCTGCGCAGAGGAATAAATAGGTTTAAATGTGGAAATCTTATTAAGCAATTTGAGAGTAAACTTTGTCCTTGGAAGCAAAAAAAAAACTTTCTCAAGGAGGCAAGCTTGGGAGTGAAATCCGGTGCTAAGGGCGGTTTTGGGGTGCTTGGGGTGGTGGCAGAATTGCGAAGGAGTTTCAAAAACATGGGCTATTTTGCGACCTGGTGCGAATTTAAAACGGGGGGTCTGACGTCGGTTGGTCGTTTTTTATGCGCTCGGAGCCACTGTTTTGAATCGGGGCCGGTTGTTGTCTGACTGGGGCCGGTCGGTTCTGGGACTTTTTTCGTTTCAATTATAAATGAATAAGATTTTTAATGAATAAGAATGTTTATGTTTTGTTTTTTCACCCCGAAATTCACATTGATAGGTATGGTAAATTTCAGGAAACATTTACGATATTTATTAAAATTATTAAGGTTGTATAGTAGTTGCAATAAAATACAAGAATGAAAGATAGGGAATAATGAAAAACTAGAGTTTGGGCCCGAATTTCTCCCTTGAGTTGTAAAAACAAAACGCTAGAGTCCAAGAGAAGGAATATATTTCCCTGCGATCCAACATAGTAGTCCAACCGCCCTTTGTCGAGATCTGTAGGGTTCTAGGAGCATCCATTTTATAAGCCGGTGGTGGTGATGGTTTGGTCGATCCCGTCTAGCGTCATTCAATGATCCTTCCTGAAGCGTGTGAAGAACAGTGTAGTTGGGGACTGCCTTTGGCGTTCTTGGAGCCTAAGTTTGAGAGATCCCGCATATTATCCTGATTCCCGAATCCTTAAAGAAAATCGTGCCCTTGAGGTCTTTAAGGTAAGAGTTTTGTGCTAGATATGGCATTGTGTTTAGTTGAAATATTAGAATGCTTGAGGTTTTGAGTCCATGTTTGGACAGGAAGTGTGTCGGTTGGTTTGCTTCCCTCTTGCAGTGTACGATCTGAATGTTGTGGGAGTTTCAAAGTTCGCGAACGGTCGATAGGTCAGTGTTCAGGTATGATGGTGTTTGGGTGAGTCCGTTTATGTATTTGTAAAGTGTTTTTGAGTCTGTTTGCACCGTGAGTTGGTTGTAACCAAGGTTGATGGTTGTTTTTATTGCAAGATTTGCTGCCTGGATTTCTGCGTATAGAGCGTTTCTACTGTGGAGGGGGAAGGCAGCTACAAGGATGGGAGCTCCTTGGACGTTCCTGAGAATGGCAGCACCTGAATTATGAGAAGAGTTGTAAGCAGCATCAACATTGAGGCAAAGGTTGTCTGGAGAGGTATGCTTCCATTTGATTATCTGTTTGGTTGCGTATGATTTCGTATACGGCATGAGACCATCTGTGTATAGTTCAATGTCAAACCGGAGGAATTTTTTCCCGATGTTGCTGTAACACCATTCATGAGTGTAGTTTTTGATTGATGTGATTTGTTGCGTAGAGGAGAAAGGTTTTGTTGGTCTTATGGGAGATCAGCACCACCCTTTGATTCAGGGCTTAACCGCCCAACCTGTTGGCACCACAAAGTGGTGCAGCCCCTCATGTCCATCCACCGCTCAGTAGTGGGGCTCTGCACTGCCGTAGTGAACTGTGGGGGGTGCCCCACAGGAATCTACCTTGACTTGGGGACTACAGAGTAATGGGTTAAATAGAGGGTGTCCACTTCCTTATCACCAATTGGTTTTAAGAAAGATATGGCTGCTATTTAACCACAGAACTCTGGAGTTAAGCGAGCCCGGGGTAAGAAAGCCCAAGGATGGGTGACCCACTGGGAAGTTTGTCGAAAAGGGGTGAATCGATCCAACAAGTGGTATCAGAGCGAGGTCACAGGTGAATCTCTCGGCTGGTGCTGGGGGGGTGATTGTTGGTCTTATGGGAGATCAGCACCACCCTTTGATTCAGGGCTTAACCGCCCAACCTGTTGGCACCACAAAGTGGTGCAGCCCCTCATGTCCATCCACCGCTCAGTAGTGGGGCTCTGCACTGCCTTAGTGAACTGTGGGGGGTGCCCCACAGGAATCTACCTTGACTTGGGGACTACAGAGTAATGGGTTAAATAGAGGGTGTCCACTTCCTTATCACCAATTGGTTTTAAGAAAGATATGGCTGCTATTTAACCACAGAACTCTGGAGTTAAGCGAGCCCGGGGTAAGAAAGCCCAAGGATGGGTGACCCACTGGGAAGTTTGTCGAAAAGGGGTGAATCGATCCAACAGGTTTGTTATCCCAAATAAGTGTGTTGTACCCTTTCCAAATGTGCCACATTATTTCCGTCGGTAGTTGAGTTGTTTCCTCCAAGCCACCAGTTGAAGATTGCCTGCCTGAGGTCTCCCTGATTAGAAATTCCAACATGCAAAATGTTAGAAAAGAAGAAACAAATAGGGAAAACTTTGGGGCATGAGTAAGGTCGAAACACCTCTCCTAGCTAGGGCCTGCTCCGGTAAAGTGATTTGAACTCACTTTTATCGCTTTTGTAGTGATTTAGTCTTTTATTATTGTGCAAAAATCTTGTTTTAGGTTTATTACTACTTTTAAAATTGATAGAATTGTTGTATTGTGTTGTGCTAAAAATTATTTATTTATTTGTGCTTATATGAAGAACAAGGGGTTTGAACTTGAGTTTGGTGCTCATTAATACTCCTCGCGTGTTCGTGTTAGTTGCTTTGTTTATTTGTAGCCTTATAAATATTTAAATTGTTTTTCAGCAAAATTTACATTTTCTTTTGTTGCTTGTTTTTCTGTGTGATAATGTCTGTTTATAATCAGTATGGTATGACTCCATTTAATGGAAAATCTGATTTTAGCATTTGGAAGCAAAAAATTAATGTATTTTAATCCAACAAAATTTTTTAAAGCAGTTGGTGAGACCTATTTAATTTAAGATAAAAAGGCTGAAATGAATGAAAATGCATGTTGTGTGATTTATTGAAACTTATACTATCTATGACTCTGTGATTAGAAAAATTGGAATTTTAGATAATGCTAAAATTATGTGGGATAAATTGAATGAACTCTATATTGAAACTGTCACGCCCCGGACCTACCGGACACGTCAACAACCCGCCGTACAGTACGAATAGTCAACCGCAGTCCAACTCATCCATACTATACTAGGCGTCTTGAATATCATTCACAATAGTACATCCATAAACAAACATAATGTAAAATAATCATTTAAAACAGCGGAAACGTTTAATACAAGTGTTTATGCCACACTCCGGCAAACATGGGCATACAAGCCCCAAATAATTATTCAAAATAATATCCATGAGCATTAGTTTAATGTTTTAAAAAAAATAGAACGGAGGAAGCACGAACCACGTCTTCTCTCCTTAAGCTCCCCGAAGCAACGGGCGATGGTAGCAGCTTTACTCCCTACCTGAAACTGTGAGGTGGCCTCCCCCGTGAAGGGGAGGTCAGTACTTGGAAGCATTTGACAAGTACAATGACAACTATACCAAGTATAATCAATGTTTCAATTTCTAAGACCCTCAAATAGAGTGATATCATAATATAATGATAGTTCTTCTTTAACCCTTATTATCATCATAATAAGTTAATTAATTAATTTGTCGGCACGCGGCCCCTTTTCATATTTCATTTCAATCATCGTTTACACG